GAAAGAAGAACCGATTCAACATACTCTAAAACTATTTTTTTTTTTTAATCTTAGCCCACAATTAAATATAATTGACAATTTTAATATGATCTAAGGTGCTGTTTGGATATGTTATTTGATAACAAATTATTTAATTAATGAATCTAATTTTAAAATTTAATCTTTTAGGTAGAATATTGTCCATGTGTAATTCCTTCTAACTGCTGGGATTTGATGAAAGAGTTCTTACAAGGATTTATGGGAAATTGTGTACAGTCACCACCTCAATATCTACAAAGTAAAATGAATGAATTATATACACCTGTAGATACTGTCCAACAATATATGGAGCATTTCAATTCTTTCAGACGAACCACATCTGGTGGAAGGTGAACAGAATTATTTGTATAAACAAAATTTTTTTTCTTATACATTCTTGAATTTGTATCATTTGAGGATTAAATTATTTTTAGTAGTTGAAAACATTCAAAAAGAAAAAGTGTAAATATGCAACAAATTTATTTTATTGTTAAAAACATTATATATAATTCTAAAATCACTTGAAACTTATAAAATAAATTTAAATTTTTTAGAACAAAACTGTATATTTTAGTAATTTTCTTTCAAATGTAATAAATTTTTTATTTTGCATATATTTAAACAATATTTAATACTGATTGGTCTACTGCATTCGGCAAAGTCACTCGTAGATTGGAGTTTTCAGACATAGTAGTGAGTATAATATTTTTTGCATCAATATTTCCTGACCAACTTCTTCTTGCAAGCTGAAACTGGATATTGAAATACCTTGCTTTTGTATAGAGAATATAATTTGAATTTACTTACCCCATTGCTAACATCCCAAGAAAGCATCATATATGCTTTTGTTGCTGCATCCTAATCAATATAAAAAATAAAATTTAAAGTTCAAAACTTTTTATTTGTATATTTTAGGATTAATAAAGCACTATCATCTTAGCTTGCTTACATCAGTTCCATCAAGGACTAATCCAAAACCTCCATTAATAACTTCTCCCCTGATAAAAAAAAATAAATAAATAAATAAGAATATTTAAATTTCTTGCTTTAACATTGCCAATAGTAACATGGAAAAAATGTTGCTATTTGATTTACATTATATGTTGTATATTACTCATAATTGTAAATTAATAGTAAAATTTGTTTAACACATTTCTGTACATTTTACTAATTGTTAACTAATTACTAAAACCTATTTTGCAATAATTAATATTAATCATTGAATTTAATGACTATTATGCTTTAAATATTATGTGAAACAAAATTTGCAAAAGTAAAAGGATTTCTTTTACTTTTTAATTTATAAAAATAAAATGTTTAGGTATTATTTATAATCTTGGATAATAATTCATTAGATAATGCAAAAACTTGACAGTGACTGTAATTCCATCCAACATATTTTCATTAAAGATGCAAATAAAATAAATGACCATGACAAAAGTAAAATTTGAACCTGTAACTCAAAACAAGAACAAAAAACAGTATCAAACAAATTTGGCCAACTGGGTAACAGAGGATGTGAAGATGTGTAGGAAAACTTCATTGAAATGTTTCTAAAGATATTAGGAATATATTGTAGATATAAATTTTTTTCTAAATACTTTAAAAATATCAAAAATTCATTTAACTTACCACCCAACGCCACCTCCATTGTGTAAAGCAACCCAAGTTGCACCTCTAAATGAGTCTCCAATGCAATTTTGTACAGCCATATCTTTGCAATATTAATTTTATGTAGAGAATAAATAAAGTAAATTACAGTATTTTTTAAATAAAATATTTCATTTATTTACCTGCAGTGAAAGAAGAACCATCATATATATTAGAAGTTTCACGAAATGGACTATCTGTTCCACTCACATCATGGTGATCTCTACTTATCACTATAGGTGCCTGTAATGTTAAAAACTATTATTGTATTACTACAATTTATTATTAAAAAAATGCAGTATATACAGTAAAACCTGATTCAAACCTGATGAAAATTTCTCCATTCTGGAAAGATTTTTCAGAATGGAACAATTTTCTATTTAAAAAAAAACCTGTTCAAAACAGAACTGCTTAACTGGAAAAAACTGTGCAATTCTAGTTTACACAGGTTTTACTGTATATATACTGTATATAAAATATGCAGTATAAATAAGCTGTTCAAAAAATATTCAGACTAATCATGAGCTTATGAATGAGATTAATTAGTAAGGTTAAACAGTCTGTGAATGTTATTACTAAATTTCAGATTAAACTTTCAGTATTTATAGGTGAAATATATCATATTACATTTTTAAAAAATCCAAAGAAAGAAAGAAGTGAGTTACTTTCAAAATGTGTGGCAGTTTTTCATGTACACTTAGATTTATAGTATATAAATTTATATTAATAAATTTCCTTAAAAATACCCCAGATTGAAACACAGGAAACATGTTGAAGTATTGCACTATATAGGGCAAACCTTTTTGAGCCCACATTCTATATATTGCCATAAACATCTTTAAAGCTAAATAAGCATTCATTTTAAGATGTTTATTTGTGCCAAAGTTTTTAATTTCTTTAAATATTGTTATTTGAAGTCCGATGATCAGTTGATAAACCTAAAGGTTGAGTAGTGAAAAAATCATGTATGTTACATGCCTCCTTAAGTGCCAGTTTGGGCACGTGTGCCATAGGTTTGCCACCCTTGTATAGGGTAATATGGTTTAAAGATGGTAGCTAAACTTCCATTTTTTCAAATTGTTTCCAATATCACTTTCTATTCCAAGAAACATTTTTTGAAATAAAATTGTATTGTCAAATATTGAGCTTGGGAAAGTTGCAATCAAGTTCTTAAGTCAAAGATCTTATCACTCAAACAGTAATTAGGAAAACTTTGGTTCAAACTCACCATCTCTTATAGAAAGAGATGGTGATTTTAAATCAGAAAGTGGTAGTCAAGATTTATGTCTGCTTTGATGAATAGGAATAAAGATTCTTATAACAACATCAAAGCATACACGAGTGATGACATAATAGCCAACTGGAAGCTGCTGAACTTGGTTAACTATCTATCTATCTATATTCGGTTTATGGCGTCTGACGTCACCTTCCTATTTCCAGGAACCCTCTCTATCCATACACCATTCCTCTTTAATCCCTTTTTCACTGCATGCTAACTACTCCATCATACCAAGTTTGTCTGGGTCTTCCTCTTTTTTCTTTTTTGTGGATTGTATTTCATTGACATTTTTGGGAGTCTCTCGTCAATTATTCGTTTTACGTGTCCAAACCAAATAAGTTCTTCCAAAACCATTTTCTTCAATCCCATTAGGTCTTTGATTCTCTCATTAGTTATTCTTTCTCTCTTTTTGAGATTCTGCATGATCTCAATGCATCCATTTCAACCATTGTTACTTTTCTCTTCTCTTCCCCAATCATTCTCCATGCCTCCGCCCCATACAACAGAATGCTTTTAACAATAGCATTATATATATATATATATTTTATTTTTATATATTAATTTTTAATGAGTTTTTGCAAAATTAAAAAAAAATTCTCTAAAATAGCATTTTTATTTATTTATTTTTTCTTTATCAAACGACTCATTTCGGGAATATCCAATCCCAACAGCCAATTGGAGAAATTAAATTTGAAATCCGTGACATCAATCGTTCGACGTTACTTCATTGGTCTATTTAAAAAAAAAAAAATTCTTTAATCACGTGAGAGATTCGAAACGATTTTATTAGCTAATTTAAATTTATCCGTTATCCAATAAGGTTACGAAAGTATTATCTCTCTCATCGACCAATCGGAGAAATTAAATTTTCAAATTTATGACGTCGATTAACTTCGACGTTTCTGCATTGGACAGTTGGAAACGAAATTATTTAAATTTTTATCACGGGATCGTTTTGAATTATTTTATTAACCGATTTGAATTTGAAAGCAATAAAGAGTTTTGTTGATTGTCCAATTAGGATAATTTGTTTAATTTATATGGTTATTTAGTTAGTTCTCACGTCTTCTACGTAATGATATGACTGGGATACGATTTTAAAATTTAAATTTAAAAGTTGTATGACACAATCAGACGTGTATTCCGTCACACGGCATACAAATCTGAGACTTTGAATTTCTCACACGTGTATTTCAACTGTATTACCCCAAGAATGATTCAATTGGATGCTATTATGTCCTAAGAATGATCAAAACAACCTAAATGGATATTTTAGTTAAAATTCTAACTTGATGATAACCTTTAATTTATTTTATTTACATCCCTTTTAAATATTTACGATATAAACAACAATAATAATAATTTTATAACATTTAAATTATTTTATTCAAATAAATATATAGGCCTATATATAAATGCATTAAAATTCTCCAAATTTAGGAAATTAGAATATTTTTCTCGTATTGTTTTTCCTCTGTTAAATTATTTAAATGTTCAAAAACTAAAATAAAAATAAATCGGGCAATTTCATTGGATGTTCTTATGACATAGATTCGAATAATTTTACCCGTGAGTCTCTGTAAAATTCAAATTTATAAAATGGTGCAATTCTATTGGACAATTNTTTCTAGTATTTTTTTCTTTACTATAAAAGTGATTTTTTTATGTAATGAAATGCGATTGAAATCACTTTTTTTTTTCTCTCTGTTTCCAGGGCATGTCAGCTAAATTAATTTTTGTCTTTCTTTACATTATTTTTCTTTTAAAATATTTAAAAACAGAGACATTCAACAGTTCTTTTATTATTTCATAGCCGTTTAAATTACGTAAAGTAATTAGAGGTTTATAATTATTTAAAAAAAAAAAATGCATTTGAATCTTAGTTTTGCGTGGGTTAGGTTAATTTTGTAGCACTTTTTTTTTGTTCCTGAAGTGATCAATTTTATGTGAAATTGATTAATTTCACTCAGTGTGTTAGACATGTGATCAATCTATTAAATGTAGCACATGTATGTGTAATGTTATAAATGTGATAGCTATTAAAGTAATATATTTAAAATGGCATTAAAAAAATTTGATAATAATTACATCAACAAATAAGTATAAACTAAGGAAATTCGTGCTTAATACTTCGATATATAATTATTAATTTAAAAACTTACGAGTTTATAAAATGACTATTTTTAACTCCAGCTATATTTAGCTGTCATTTATTAAAATAGGAATATATACATATATTTTTTTAAAATGCAAATTAAGCTACCGAATTAGAATAAGAAAAATTACCTGTTAGTAGCTTAAATTTCTTTCTTTTTCTTTTTATTTTTAAGTAAGATTTTTAAAGGCATAACGAGCGTAAGTTGAATGTTACATCTTAGTTCTGTGTGCTTGTTAACTTTCTATTATGGGTACTCTAGACAAAGTCGATTTTTTTTCTATTTCTTTTTCTCTTCTTCTTCTTCTTTTTTTCTTCCGCCTCCTGTTAGTGTGAAAGTGAGCGTGTGACCAAAACAAACTCGTTAACGGAAATTAAATCTGTAGAAAGCTCGCGCTCAGCTTCGAATGTATCGAAAGCTTCCTCCCTCCGTACACAGTTTTTAGCCCGTGGCAATTGTGAACTACAAGATTATCCGCTTTCGTGTCTGGTAAACAACACACTTGTCTGAGACCAACAACCAATTACACACTCCCGTTTTTACTTTCCCGATTCTGTTACGTATAACAGAGGAAAAGTATGGCGACGATTAGAAAATGACAAGATTTTTACATTTTTTGGACTCGGAAGACCTTCGAGAGTTGTCGAGAAATGCTAATAATTTCGGGTTTTTTTTTTGTTTTGTACTGATATTAGTGTGTGTATATGTATGGGGGGTATGATTTTGTTCACCCTCTTTGAAGCTTAATAACTCCCGTGATTTTTCTCAAAAATTTCTGAAATTTTACAGGGAGGTTTGTGTATTAGGGGGATTGATGCTGTTAAAATTTTAGTGATTAAAGGTCAATGCGATGGGGAGATAGAGGGGGAATTAGAGGTCGTGTCATATCGCAGGTGGGGTAGGACTTAACGACAATTTTACTCGTTATTAGCATTAACTAGTTTTTATTCCCATCCTTACCTTCAAAATTAAACTTTTTGCCATTTTATAATACTTAAAAGTATTAAAAAAAGTTATTTTTAGTAAAATATGATAACAGATGGCGTCACACGCAGTTATAAAATGTTGCGGGGATATTTAAGCAACTCATTGCTGGAATTTTTAATCGATATTTTAATTATCTTACGACTTACGTAAGTCTTTTTTTTTATGTCTTATTTCTTGTTTTGTTCTTTATCTTATGTCTATATTAATACATAAAAGTTTTATTTGTTTATTTATTTACAGGATTAGGTGTTGATTAAAGCTCTTATCGGTAATTAAAACGTATAAATATGCATCAGTGTAGCATGCATAATTCAATTTCGATAGTGAGAGTGAATTGTAAAGGTTTGTGAAAGTATTATCCTATCTACTTTTGCATATTTATGTAAATTCAAATTACTGATTATATATATACATATATAAAGAGTGGTTTATTGAACTGGAAATTATTTTTCTGTCTTTCTAAAACGGTAAATTTGAACTTGTTTTGAAGGTTGATTGTTATTATTACTATTCGAATTTAATCAGCGATTTCAAATGTTAATATTTTTACTGTTTCCTTGAAAGAATTGCTGTTTGTTATCATTAACTGGGGTATAAATATTTATTAATTTAAATTAATTTTGTAAAATCTACTTTAAGAATTTTAACTTATTATTTCTGTCAATTGGAGTAGTTAGGTTTTTTTTTTAATTAGGCAAAATCGATAAAATTACAGTTGATAAATCAAGACTACACGTGAAATTTCCCACAGTTATGCTCTACGTGCATCTCTTTCTTCGTTTAGTGCCATGCTAATTAGCTATAACTTGTACATATTAACTAATA